ATCTTACGGATGCGTTAATTGCGTTTCTTAGTGATACTGCTCTTAGTCTTCCCCGTACGCGACTTCGTCGGGCTAGTCCTGTGGTGGTTTCTCTAGCGCATCGTAGGTCATGCTGTTCCCGTAAGTAGAGCCGCGCGGCTTAGCGAATGTTGATTATTGGCAAACCAATTAGTACTACTACTACAACAGTACGTAGTAAAAGTGCTTTTAGCCACTCAACTCCAAGCTCGCTAGTCATCCAGCCATTATCGCTGGCTGCAATCGCCCAGCCACACGGGATCTCTGCCTCCTCGTACTAGGCGGATAGGTGATACTGGCCAGCAAAGATCAGGAACGGTGGCACTGCCCAGCTAGCTGCGTTGATCGCTGCGATCTGTATCACCTACTCGCGATTGCCTAGACTAATAGCTTCTAGCAGGCCTCTTCTCTCTAATGCTGTTACGACTAGCTGAGTCGTGATCTTGCATATTATAGAGCCAACTTCGTTGAAGTTGTGCACGTCCTTATTATAGATGCTATACTCGGCCTTCGTCTGCTCTACATTCTCAAACTAGCTCTTGATTAAGACCAGATCTCTACATAGAGCTCTCTGCCTATCGTACGATTGATTTAAACGGGTAGTAAGGGAGTCTATACGCTTGACAAAGTTGCGCGGCTAGTGGACGCCAACCTGGCCAGTGTTGCGCGCAGCTAGCAGCTTATCAGCTATACAGCGCACAGCAGTATAGGTAGGCGCAAATCCACGTAAGTTAAGGTCGGGTATATGGCTAGTGATTACCTGCTCTTCTAGCTGCGTCGGCTTCTTTAAATTACTAGGCTGGCAATCGCGTCGCGCATGCTTCCCAGCGCGTCGGTCAATTAGCGTTGATTTTGGAATATTAAAGGCCGTAGCAGGGCGTAGAGTACTCTAGGTATAATTGCTATCCAGAGAATAGAGAGCAAGCTGGGTATCTGCCTCGTGAGAAGTTAATCAAGAAGCGTGACGTGGAGGCATTGTACGCAAAGGTGAGGCGGGTGATTAAAGCTGATAGGGTGAACCACTCGCTTGTAAACTACGTTGTCTAGAGTATCTTTTCTACATGTACGTGAGTTATGGCCAGTCTTACGCTAGAACTAAAACGCGGAAACTAAGGGGGTCAAATCCACATAGCATCATATACTAGGGTTAATGGGGTGTGCATTTTAGTGGTGGGGCGCGTTAAAATCCTCTCTTGTTTGTTATTTCTTTTACAATTAACGTCTACTTCCTATTCACTTGCTAAACTATAGAACCTAAGGCTTCACTAGTTATGCGTTATCACGCAATCCGCACATAGCTAGTACAACTGCGTCTGAACCTTCTTCGCCATTTACGTCACCTACATATCCGAGCTTGCCCTTCCCTATGTTAGTAAGAGCAATAGGAGTTTGCTCTTGGTCTGTAATCGGTACAGGATAGAAGACATGAGACTCAGTATGTGAGGAGTCTTTTGGTAGGTACCATGCATCCTTGTCAGGTACACCTGCGAGGAAGACGGCTTTCTGGCTGTAGCTAGGGGGTAGGGATGTATGTGATGATGTATCTTCGGTATCATTACGATGAACAGTGGTGCGCTGGTACGCTCCGTGCGTCCATGGCAAACCCGCTTCTTGGAAAAGCCTATCTATATCTTTGGTTGTAGTCATTGTGCTGAAGTTGCCCATAAAAACGAGTCTACCACCACCGCGGACATAGTCAAGAAGCTTCGCGTAAACAGCACGATGCTGTACGATGCCACTGTCGGTGACTAGAACCGCCTGTGGAGGCTGATCTGCTAGTCCTTGTAGTACCGACTCCGGTTTTGTGGCACGGTCGAGAGCGGCCACGGTGTTCAGCTTCCCCAAAAGTCCCTGGTAGAGCTGATCAAATGGAGAAGCGGTATCAAGAGATACCAGCAGGATACGTGGATCATCGGGAGCTGCCGCCGACATCATGTGACGCTGTCGAGCGGGCTGAACTAGTGGGCTGGGAGAATGCAAGTCGAAGCTGGCAGCCGCTTTCGCAAGACGATCAGCAATTTTGTTATGCTCCCTTGGAATATACCAGAACCCAATCTACATAATCTTAGTCTTTGCATGCAGTCCACATAAATTTGTGTGACAACTAACCGTCAAATTCTCCGACTCGAGCGTCGTCACCACGCTATCGAGAGCGAGGAACAGATCTAGATTTGCCGGTGTAGTACCTTTAGCCGTGCGCCAGTTATTGCTCTATAAACGCGATCAGCAGTGTCACTGGAAGCCCTTGTCAAATACATACCTTCCATTTTGGTAGCCATTCAGTCATGCCCTTCACAACGTACTCGGAGTCGGTGGCGACAATCCAAGCAGCGGCTCCCCTCTTGGGATTTCTGGTGTAGGCCTCAGCGAAGAAGTGTAGACCTGACCTTGCAGCACAGAGCTCCGCTCGCTGGTTTGATCACAGTGGGAAGTTGTCTACTTTGTCCGTGATGGGTTTAGACAATTGGCTACTATCATCGTTGCCGTATGCTACACCAACTCCTGCTTTTGCCCCAGGTCGTCCGTTGTCTGTACACGCCCCATCTGTGAATATTATGCGAAAGTGGTGGCAAAGTATAGCCGGTCGATGGCTTGCACGGTTTGATAGGGATTCGTTGTTGCATGCGCAGCAATACAACAAAAAGTCATGGCAACAAGGACAGTGCTGGAGGAGTTCTGGTACAGACCAGTCTCTGGTTGTAGGGCAGAGGACAAGCTTTCTATCATGGATGATATTTTCGTAGTAATCCATCTTTGTGAAAGTACTGAGACCGAAATCAATTCATGGTCTCGATGTGGAGTCATTGGGGCACCACCTAGATTAGGCGCCGGCGGTTGGCAGATCTCTCGGGCCGTTCGAGACGGCCGGCAATACTCCGGTTAATCGCTTGATCAAGGCGGGGTAATCATAAAACCGAAAGCTAACCTCGCTATGTATCTTACTCTCATCGCAAC